ACTGTAATCAAAAATATTGAACAAGTTATGGGGCACAAAGGATAACGAGTCTAAAGACAATGAGAAGAAGAGACGTATTGGTGCATCTATCTGTGATAAAGGTGTGAACACATGCGCGACACGCACCGCGCATTCGAATGCAGCTGATGTCATGAGCGAATAAACCGGCGTAGACTGACCGACGCGACGACGACGCTCCATTGCGACCTTGTAGGACGCCACACAGTTCTCACGACAATACCTTGGCGATAAAGGGCTGAGTTTTCTATATTGCATATCTAACATTTTTATAAATCATACTGTGCGTGTAAAAACTCTTTTCAACAATGACATAAGAGTACTTATGAGTATTTCATCTGAGTAATTTTACAATACAAGGCCCTTCGAGATTCCTGCTCATTTGCAACGAAATTTCAATGCACAATTTGAGGGAAATAATTGTAACTGTTACCGGAAGACGTCATGCTGCTAAGGACATGCACACATTAGGGTGTATTACGTACATATGCACCAGTTACGAAGCGGTTTTGGGCCGAAAGGGGCAATTTTCACCGCGAGGCAAGAAGCAGGGAGCTCGCTTTCGATTTAACCACGCCTTAATACTTTTGTGGATGTAAAGGGGGCGGTTAAGTGAAGTCAATGTGTTATTAGCTTTATTTTGTAGTTACTTTTTTCTCTATTGCATATAATTTATGAATGATGAAGCTATTTCTATAGTTGTTATAGTGTTAGAGTGAAATAATGATGTTTATTTCTCCGTGTGGTAAATTTATTTCGGTTCTCTATTTACATGGCTTACAAATCTAGTTACTGACATGAAGCCAAATCTTACATTTTACAGGGAAGATGCTCTTCTAACCAGCTGGCCTTAAATTTTGTCAAAAAGGTAACACGCAAAAGGGGTTACAAAAGCCGTTACAGTGAATAAACAAGACGGCTGCAGCGTCGTCAATTTGAACAACACTTGCAGGGCCCCGTGGTGCGTGATAAGATCTCGTAGTGCATCTGCCGGGTATTGGCCATAGGGGCCAAGGGGTTGGGGTTCAATTCCGGTGTTTTGTTTCGTCAAAGCCTGTGGGAAACCTATGATTGGTTTATGATTTACTTTTCGTAAAGGGATTAGTTGTTGGACTAGAGACAGGCTTAAGAGTGGTGGTGATTCGTTTTCGGCCTCGTAAATGAATTATTGTACTTCTTTATGCGTTGTGTGATGCCCTCATAAAGGCTTATTTTGTTTGGTGTAAATAAAACCACTGTTATGTACACGTAGAGACAAATTCAAATGAGATCTTAATTCAATTTCCGCTGCTTTTACTGCGGTATATGTAGTTTTGTTTGCTATTAACCAAGGTCCTTATAAAACACGAAATCCTCAAACAATCAGGGCTTAGTGGCACACAAATGACGTATCTAATACAATGGGCGAAACTTACAGCCCTTTAATGAATAAAAAGTACCGGTGGTGGCTGGTACCACGACGCTATGTCTACAAAAAGGTAACGACAATCCCTATAGGAAAGACGGAAATTGTCGAATGAAAATCGCATATTCGGTGTATCGTGGTAGCGGGCAGGTAGGGCATGTGGCGAGATGGTGCGATAACCGGAATTATTCATACGCGCGTTATCGGTCCGCCATCGCGGGAGCTATTGTGAACACGGCCTAACGCGCGAGGGGTGGCTCCCAGTTGTCGCGGACGCTGTCAAAACGACTGTGTGTACTCGGGTTAATGTGACGCCAGTTTGGATTGATTATTGTTTTATTCCGTGTCGCTCAATTCAATTTAATTTTAGATTTAATGGCGATTCTGCTACTGTCGCCAATATCGGAGCTTTTTCTTTTAGTAGTTTTACAGGTAGGACTGGAAGGGTATCGGGAAAACAGTACGTTGAGTATATTTGCATTAATTTGTTTTGATTGAAACAACAGCAATAATGATTCGTTTATTAGCAAGTTAAATGGGTAATTAAACCTAGTAAGTGATACACAAGTAGGTAGAACTAGTATCCTACGTAAAGATAACCTCCAAAAGCACACTACACAACACATAAAGAAATACTTAATAACCTGCAAATATTGGGTAATTTTTAGGTACAGGATAGTTTTCTGTACCAAATTTCGTAGGCAATTTTTATTATTAAATATTATAGAATATCATGAAGTGTTACTTAATATTCGAGAGTATTATCCTGAAAAATTATTTACTATTTCAAGGTAATACACTCGAATATTTAAATAATCATAATCTCAGTACAGAGTACTAAAAAACCGACCTCAAATGTTCGTGGAATTACTTCTATTTGCCAAGTTTTATTGAAATCGGTTACCGAAAAGTGCACGAAACCGGATGCAATCCCCAGTTTGCCACCTTTAGAGGTGGAATATTTTCTTCAATTTTAAACTGGACCACTACAGAGGCACCCCATTTCCAACAAAAAAAGAATCGTCTAAATCGGTTCACATATATCGCATAACATACATACAAAGAACTCCTCCTTTTCTTTTGATTCTTTTGAAGTCGATTAAAAATAGGCACCAAATAGAGAATACTAGCCTGAAAATTAAATTCAACACATTTGGTAAAGAATGAATGACATCCTTCTAAAATTTTTTGGAATTATTACAGTTCATATTGATTACAGTTGTTCCCCTCAAAGTCTGCCTGTGACTAGTCAGCATTGTGCGGGGTGATAAGATCTCTGATAATCTCTGATCAGCACCTGGATCTAACATGCGGGTCTATCTCTACATATATCTACTTGTAGTAGAGGTATAATTTATTTCGGGCAGCTATGTTTTTAAAGTTCAAGGACGAAGCCGTTTGATTTTAGATAAACTTTCCTTATCTTTAGTATTAGTTTTATGGCGACAAATCGTTTCGTTGAGTTTCTTTCTAAATTTAACGAATTTTTAGTATAAATTGTACCCATAAAAACACATACGTCAAAGTGCTCTTATCACATTCAAGTGACAAAATAATATGAACTACATGAAACAAGACTACATGAAGAAATAGATTTCTCACAAATGGCGCTATGGCAAGAATGTCGTTAAAAACTAAAAACAAAGATCTGCAACAAGCACATGGAAAAATTTGTAAGGTCCCCTAGTTCTTTCCGTGGTTTAGTTGGCATAGCATCTGGCACGGTTTGATGGAAGACGTTGGTTCGTTTCCAGCAGGATCGAAGGAATTATTTTATTAAGTGTATGTATGATCTTTGAATTAATAATTATAAGAAACTAGTGAAATAATTTCACAAAAATAATTCAATATCATGGTGGTCGAACATCGTGACAATCAACGAAAAACTTAAAATTACATGAAACAAATTATGGACTTGTGAAATTTTTTAACTCTTCTATCTAATCGACTAATTTAGTTTGTAGAATCTTTAACCTTTATCCTAATAAGTTTTTTTTATAGTAGATGTGGTCTTATTACACCAACGGTGCGAAATTAAAGCCCTTAATAAGGTAGAAGAGAAACCTATATAAAATTTTCAGGACTTTGGAGGAAAGTTGCCAATCCATACACTACATTCATTTTAGTTATATCTTGTACTTTACATTAGGTTCGCTACCTCCTATACGTCACATGAAGTTCTAAACAAAATCAGCAATTTTTGCAAGAGTAAGCAACAATTAACTACCCGCAGTGCACCACAAGGATGCTACCATACATGGAATTAGAGACCAAGGGCTGGCCCCTGCAAGAACGGACCAATCGGGGGAAAATACGGGCCCTTCGTTGAACACACCCGTACATATGTTTGCTTTCACTTATAAATAATAATTGCGTTGTGGAATTAAAAGGGGAGTGAGTTCTGTAGATACGTCTGTTTATAAAATGTAAACCAACAAATTGTTTGTTTGCTACACCTTATCTACATGTTATAAATATATAGAGTTTACAAATACTGACATGCGATTATCAGAGGCATTGAAATCATTGGCTAGAAGCAAAATAAAGAATGAAAATCAACAAGAGTAAACGTTACGGTGCAGTAATTTGAACGATTGCTAATTAGTAGACAATGAAAAACAAACAAGACTGTTACTTGAACATGTATTTCGCAAATCTGTTCAGCAATCAAAATACATAATGTCTGTGCGCAAACAAATCACCGCTGTGTATCATCCGAACTGACTTTGATCGTAATTAATGTAATTTCCAACTGGCCTACTATTTTAATTGCCCGCTGTTGTGACACGGTGCTTTTGAAATTTCCGAAAAACTGCCTTTGTTCGCCGCGCAACCATCGGGAACCAGTAACTATTATTTGTTTATCAAATACACATAAAAGTTGAGAATATTCATGAATCGTGAGCATGACCAGGGCCGGAGCAATCCCGAGGTCCGAAAATTTTACACTTTTTTCTTTTATTTTACGTTTTACTCGTAATTGCCTACCTCTTTGAATATTTTTATAATTGCAAATTGTACATGCAAATTCACAAAATATTTATTACTCTTTGGCGGATAGTTTCCATTAGATCTTGGCCTAAATAACTTAATACATAATCGGTTGAATGAAGATGTCGTGTGAAAGACCGGTTGTTATAAACAAATGATATTAATTTAGGTAATCGTGAAATAACAAAATACTTCTAAATCGGCGTTCTAATGACACTGGGTTTCGGACTCGCATTACAATGACTATCTATCAGTAGATCTCTAAGTCATGGTAATGGACACTTAAACGCTCGTAAACTTTGAGAGGTTTAGGGAATCCGAGTGCGGACGCTAATGCCTTCACTATTATGACTCCGGACACAAAATGTAAAGATAGCCACTTTTATATCAAGACAGCCTTTAAAGAACCCTCGCCCTATTTAATATTTGAGATAGTCAACGTGTGATTTAAAATACATTTTATTCCGGGAGGAGGAGGATGGTGAATTTATTGGGCTGGAAGCTAAAGCGCATTTACTCCGAAGTAACAACTTAACTTACGCGCCAGATTATATTAAAGGAATTAAAGTTACTATTTGGTGTACAGGTCGAACGCTGGGCAGCGGTAGCGGTCAAGTATGCCGGCCACACTTCCACACGCCGCTGCATCCGTGGCTGGAGTCGAAGGCGCTTGGCAGCGGCGCGTGGGGCAGCGGCTTCCAGCAAGATGCAGCGCCAAACGACAAGCCGTTGTCCCCCGCGCAGCACCATCACCCCCACCCCCTCTTTTCATTTCCTCCGACGCCGCCCAAAGACTCGACACCTGATTCGGTGGCGGCGGCGGCTCTCGGCCAACAGGACTACCAAGCTGCTGTCGCTCATGCGACAGCGATGAGTGTCGCCTTCATGCAGCAGCAGCAGGAACTGCCGTTGTGTGGAGACGTCAAGCCTATGATGGGTGCGCCACCGTCGAAGCAACGTGAAGGTGCGCAGCCGGAGTCGTGTCCCCAGGAGTCGAGCCAGCCCTCTGGGGAATACAACGCCCAGTACAACGCCGCCGGCGGCGACTACTACGGCTACCAGGGGAAGGGGTTTAGTGGGGCGCAACAGCAGAGCAAGCCGCGGCCGAACAAGACGCGAACGAGTGCCGGTGAGTGTGCCGCCGGGACCTTGCACTGCACCGCTCCCGCTGCACCTAACACTCTCACGACATCGTAGTGCGCTTATCCGACCACTCACACCAGTTAAACAATCTAGACTTTAGACTGAGAACAGTGATATCAGATCTTGGACAAAATTGCATTACTTTATCAATTGAGAGCTTTCACTTCAAAACTTATACTTGTTAATCATATAACAAATCAAATACCTCAAGCTATCCAAGACTACAGAATAGCTGCCACGATAGCGGCCTCGTAATTAGAATCTCAGTGCAGACTGTCTCTTCGACTATTGCGATTTATTAATTGGATAACGGGAGGGAGATTATTATTTGGTACTCGCGAGTGGCATTGTAGAGTAATAATGTTGTAGGCCATGATGTGGTCGGATAAGCGCCGTATCTTGCACCGGGGTTGTGGCGCCACACGTTCTATCTGTAACACGGCGGTTGCCAACAACGGCTTGGGATCGTGTCGATGTCTAACGCTTTACTAACTGCTCACGGTGGAGGTACTAACCAATCTTAACATTTCCAGTCAGATTTGCGGCGGCGTCCGTGATAAATAGCTTACAGTTTTACCACACAGATCATCTTTATTAGTACTTTCACACTCGTTATAGTACGTGTTTCGGTTGCGCTGGCGAAATTCTAATTGTTTCCGCGAGATGTGAACTGCGCGGCCTTTTCTGATGTTGACCAAAGAAGAAAGAAAGAAGCGGTTTCTCATTATTAATTGCGTCTTTCTATTGTTTTTACTTTAGTAATTAAGTAGATTTCTATTAATTTTGGACAAAATAGCCGAGTCATTTCATTACAATGCGGCTATTGGGCAATCTCTTGTTGTGAAAATTCTTGAAACTGGTGGACGTAATCAGAGATAAGATTGCGAATAGTAACGGGGTAATATAAATACGTACACGATGTTACAATAAATTTGAAATAAAATAGATTATTTAGTTTTTAGTCACGTCATTGTAAAAATATCGTATTCTGGCGAGTGTCCTTTTGAACTATGCTGAGAGAGCGTCGACGTCGACGTCTTTAAGATAGTAAGAATCCCAAAACCGCCTTTGACAGTTTTGTCTCTATTGGGTCTATAATGTTTGTAGGTTAAATAACGGACGGATTAAAATTTCTACAAATTGTACATTTTATAAACTACATAATATTTGTTTGGACTCTTTTTACAACAGATTCCATACCAAAGTACATTACAATAAGCTTAAATATAGCGTTTAAAGCACCAAAGGCTCTGGGATATATTGACATGACCTTTAAAATATTAAATTGAGTATTGTTACAACTGCAAATTGGATAAGTTTTCGCAATAATAGGCATTATGAGTACATACTTGACTTTAAAAGAATTGCTCAATGTTAATTGTATTAACTGCATTAGAGCTGTAATGCCGCTTTGAATTAAATTTAAAATATAATTGTGTGGTTCGTTCTAAAGTGACAATGGACGGGAAACTACGCTGTCACTTTTGTCTCTTCATTGTGTATATACAGCATTAGTTTAAATAGAATAACATTAAATGGAACTACCACTGTGTTTGTTCAATATTAGTGAAATTCTAAAGTGAATAATCATGTCACGGTCTCACGAACTGTCAGGTTGAGGTCTTCATAAAGGTTTTCTCATGGAGTAATTAGAATGCTATTGCAAAAGCATTAGCGTAATGCTTGATAGACATCGGAAAGTAGGGATTTGTTTCTTGAGAAAGTTTTATGCATAAGTTTTAATCTGAGTTTAGGAATAACTCTTAAATTATTTCAAATTTGCGATTACAACAGTAGTGTTAATAAATTAAGAAATAAATATGATTAACTAACTCATGGCATGTAGGCGGGTACTGTAAAGTAAGTACGAGGTTACTCGTATAAATTAGAGAAATTGTTTGGCGAAGTACGGCACAAACCCTGCTAAGACATTTTCTGCTCTCTAATTTACACAACATTCACGCATCGTTAACCTGTTTTTGTTCAAGCAACATGTTAACTTTAATTGTGGTAAAAAACGTAATATACGGCAGTGCGGAGTAATTGGAAGTTGACTATTAGTTCATTTATTTAATTAAAAGGGTATTGTGTTACCGCGAGTAGGTAAGATTTAAGGCGGTCATTACAACAATTAATCTTCCTATCACTTTGTGAGATATATCGGGTATTCGGGTTTATTATCGGATGTTTAACTTTTGTAAACTAACGTTATATTGTAGGCAATTATTATGAATATGTTTTAGAAGCTAGTCTGATGAATATTCTATACTACTTAATGTAGGTACTTAAAAAATGTAGAGCGCCACTAGCAGCTAAAATGTTCTACACGAATATGACACGCGGTTGCAGTCGACTATTGAAATTGTATTTCTATAATTAGTCGTTGAAATATTTTGTATTCGAATGACTAAGTTAACAAAAGGCCGTTTTATTGTTTTTAATTAAACAGTTTTTCACCACGGGTCCAGTCGCCAAGCGTTCTAGGCGAATTTTGAACTACAATTCTAGACTCAAATGGATTACGTAACTGCTACATACATTAGTATAGTATTGTCTTCTATACGTACGTGAAACCAAATACTGTCTAACTTAAAATGGTTGAATTGAGAAGACACGATTTGAAGCAGTGAGCTCCTTGTGAAAGAATTCGTCCAGGGAGGTATTGCCATCTTTCCGATTTCTATCGCCAAGCAGTAATATGAGCTGCGTTCCAGTTTTGAAGGGTAAGTGTATTGCTGTGGTGGGGTACAGTCCCATCACTTGGTGTCATAAAAAAATCCAATATTTTTTATTCAGAACTAATGTTCAGTAATCTGAACAGAACCAAAAAATAACATTCTCGTTTATAGTAACTAAATATTATTAATTTCTGTATTTTCAAATCTAATTTTCTCCATTCCACAATTTTTGAGTTACGACAGTATGTGCTTTCATGTGCGAATGTGCCTTTGTATGGTCATTATTGCACGACGTACCTATTACAAGTAGGCTTAAGCATGAAAGATGTCATGCCACTACATTTAAGGAAATCGATCATTAGTAGGCCCCTACAAAAAACATTTTTGATAACATTAAAGAGCAATTTCAAACGCATTAAGGCTTTATTCGAATTGATTGATTTAAGGTAGAGTATACCCAACTATAAGCTAGTAGCAAGTTACGAAGTAAAGTATAGGTAGTGGTATTCGCTGTTTCAACGGTGGAAGCAGTATTATGATAATGCGGCTCGCCGGATGTGGCCCATTCCATTGTTACCAATCGCCTGACCTCGAGCCTCCTGCAAACTGCTTGAGGAATTAAAGCTTTTAACTCTATTAATTCTGCTCTAGGCCATTTATGATCATTTATTACTGGAAACAACCGATCGCGGTTGAGTTTTCTAAGCATGTTAGAGGCGGGGTCTTACTTCAGGCCGTTTTATCCTTTATATGGGTATTATAAGTTATTTAACTTAATAGGTTTCGAAATGCTACAGACATTTGGTGTTGTATTTTTTACAAGTTGACTTTTACGAATTTCGGAAAAATATGTATATGTAGGTAAACAACGTTTTATAAATGACGTTATTACAAAATTTGGAATATACTCGTAGTTGAATATAGAAATGTAGATGTTTTTCCAGAGTGAAGTTAAAACACGTTTTAGACGTTCCACTGATGAGCGCGAGTGTCTTCTCAGGCGGCGGTTTAGGCCACGTGCAGGTTTCATCACGATGTTTTCCTTCAACGAAAAGCTCATGGTAAATTTCAAATTCCGAAAAACTTAGAGGTGCCCGGATTCGAACCCACGGCCTCTGATTGAGAGGTGGTAGGTCAAACCATTAGGCTACCACGGCTCTTTTTTTTGTATTATGTACATAGATAATGTGTTTTTAGAAAGTAAGATTTAAAAGAAAAACGATGAGTTGTCCGACGTATTGTGTTCAAAAAGGGCAATTCTGACAAATGTCACATCGAGATTAATTGGAGTAATAAATGAGTCTCCGCAGTCGTTTTATCTTATCGAAATTACTATAAACAGAGTTGTAAGGTTTAACTTGCATTCTCTGCCGCTGACTTTCTAAAACAATACTACCTCTCTCGGAATTGGACGCTATTTGAATTAATTATGTGTTTATTTGTGAAGTACAGATTTAAGTGAACATAATAATGTACTTTTTAGTAGACATACTACCACTTTACACCGAATGGCTGTTTAGCGCCTACACTGATGATGTGTTACTTGTAGTAAATTCTAAAATTAAAATAGTGCTTCCATTTGCAGACATTGTAGCTGTTTTGTAACATACCCTGATGGGAAAAGGACGTGAAGCGTATTTATGTGTGTATTGTAACAAACCGTACATACGACATACGAATAACAACCTGACGATATAGGTAATTAGTTAAATGTATGTAAATATCTGAAAAGCGTTGTATTAAACTGTGTTGCCGTCTGCATGACACGGACGGCCGACCAAGAGGAATGAACTAGACTACATTATTAGTATTTGTTCAGGTACATTTTTATGTGTTAGTAATAATGCTAGAGTATGTAATTGGTGTTTCCACACTTCATTTAAGATTCTTGACGCTCTACTTTCTGTATTTTTAACGTTTTTATTCGAATTCTTAGTATCATTATAAGTAATTAATATCTGTGTTTTAATTTATGAAATCACTGTCATTTCAAATTACAAACACGAGTATATTATGTAAATAATTATAAGCGAGTTCGAGGTTCAGTTTTTTTTCTCTTTGTCTCTCTTTCTCTCTCTCTCTCTCACACTCTTCATTTAAAAACATATCTCGTAGTTAAATTTTTACTCAAATAAGTACATTAGATTATACATACAAGTAAATGTACAAATACACAAATGAAAAATTTGGTGTTTGGCGAACATGCTTATAATGCCGTCACGGTCTGTCGGTTAACAATGTGGGATACAATTGCAACGAAAATTTGCATTTACGTTGACCACTGGCGGAACTTTGGTGGTTAATTCAATTATTAAACAGAGAATAATGGACTTTTGTATTTAGTACATATCTGTAATATATGTATTCGACTATAAGTACTTGTACTATATGTTTTTTATTAAAGGAAAAAAATCGGAACAATAAATTGTAGTAACTTTATGAACAGCAGATAAGTGGCCAGAGAAAGACAACTACATAGTAATATTACAAACAACTCATGCAAATGCACCTTTCAACAAACTAATAAGTAAATTGAGGCTTGTCTACAAAAACACCAGCAACTAGGGTCGCTTATTAGTGAAGTGTTCAATACGAGTGACCGGTATAATCACTACGCCGCGGCCGGCCAATGCAACTGTGCAGCGTTGCTGCTCGTCACACGTAATTATCTCGCAGTATGCTAATAATAAATGCAAATACGGCCGCCCGTCTGTCGAGCGATTGCTGATGCAGCCGCCATGAAAAATGGCTTCATTCCTCTGTAGGGTCACTTTGTGTTCACAATGTACTCGACGAAATAAAATACAAATCAAATTAATTGGGCGCAATTTAGATATATTATTTTGCAAACGGAAACATTACGTACTCAGATCTTAATCAGTTTAAAAACAGTTTTAGTTGTTATGAATAGTAAACAATCCAATGGTGTAGGTAATTGGAAGCATGTAGAACATTTCCTGACGTCAAAACACAATGCTCAATAAAAGAGAGCCTCCGCGCGAGACCATCGGCTTCCATTAAAATTTTCTATTTGCATACAAGCATATAATTAAGGCGTAATAACAGCCTCTGTGGCGCAACAAAGAATAAGTTTTGAGCAATAATTTAATGGTTTGTATGCAAAATAGCCTCGCCGTTACGTGTTGATGGGCCGATGCGCCGGAGAGCACGTCACGCTACACGGGAGCGAATTAGTCCTTCATTTAAATTACATTACCCTACTACACATTAACGTAGTACGTGACTATGTCCAAGCTTTTTACTTTGTGGTCTCAGCTTAGAGTAACGGCCTGTCTCCGTTTGTATAGAACGCATCGCTAGTTCTAAGGTCAACATCACTCCGGACGCGTAAGTTTGCGCTCTCAGCTAAATTGGCGGGAGTTAGTGGCGTTGTTTTCCCCACGCGAACGGGCGTGTGAAAACTTTGCGCACTCCATCGTTCAGAGTGCGCTCGCTTGGAGAGTCTCGAAAAATAAAAACCGCCCACTCGCCTACGTAAATATGGCAGATGAAAATCTTTTATCGTGGTCACGTAGAGCCGCCGCGTCACGACCGCACGTCACTCGGGGCAATAAAGGCCGAGCCGCATTCTAATTTAGAACAAATGCTGGAATTTTTCGCTTAGGCTCCATTCTTCTTAAGAAATCCAGGACACCGACTCTTGCCAAATTTAATAGCGCTTTAAATCTTTGCGTCCAATATCTCTTTATCTTGTCCGATTGGCATATAGTGAAATCGTAATAGAGAAGTTATACGGCCGATAATAACATAGGTTAGGTACCTCAAAGGAAATAAAGAAATAACTCTCTCTGTGTGAACATATTAAAACACAGTTATCGTACCAATTGAACCGGATTGAACAATTATATGGTAATAGTAATTAATCAGAAATGCTCTCTTTAATAATACGTGTAATGTCGATGTATGAAAGGCAGATGGCAGTAAATCTCGCTCCGCCCGCGGCCGCTTTCACGGCCGTTTTTACCAATAGAGACGTTACTATTGAACCAAATCAGTCCCAGACCGAGAGACACTATCATAAACCTCCATGCGCCAAGTAATATCCTGTTATTTTTTCCTAATAATCGTTATTGGTGTTTATTTATTACAAACTTCGGAGCAAATTACAGGCTTTATCGATCCAACAAAAAATAAAGGGTTAGTCCAAAAAGTGAGTCGTCGGTCCGATCGCAATAAGTTTTCGATAAGGTCCGGGCGATTTAATTGCCGGTTGTGATCTGGTTTTACATAAAAAAGATGAATGGCTGCAGAGCCTAAAGCTCATAAAATATTTTCGGTTCGTTTAACATATTTTTTCTATCGTCGCTCTGGCACTTTCACCTTCCTTTTTACGTGGCGGTGCGGTCCTTGCGTAGAGCATCGTTATTTATTCAGCGCGCCGGTCGTGGCGTCTGCCTAGGGACGCGGATAATCAGATCTAGATACATATCATTAATAGATACATACCGATATACACACAATACGATCGATACCATCTCTAGGGCAACGAACCCAATCATATGCTCGTAAATTAATATCGAACGACCTCTAGAGTTTATTGTTTGTTATACGTGTATATGAGTAACGTTGAATTTTTTCCCACATCAATTTAGCAGCAAGTCGATAGTTATACACGCTTATATCGAATCTTTTTAAAGAGAGGATGCGAAGGTGTAACGAGATGAGCTTCTAAATTCGATCTCGGTAAATCATCGGTGGGGTAATCGAGTTTAGAGAGAGATTGTGGGCGGCGCACTCGCGGCCCATATGTGAACATATCCTCTTACTAACCACGCAGGGTATCAATGAAATTGCTGACTTTGATTAGAAATGAGTCACATCAAAGTTTAAACGCGAATTTCCCCGGAGGACGGCTCTACCTGGGGTCAGAATATTAATAGTATTTCATTGCATGAATACTTTTATTCTTTATACTTTTGTGGACGTATATTCGAACGCATGCTATATAATAAAAGTATAGAATTTCTTCAATTAAAACTGTCGTTTAAAATTATATAAACATTTTATAGAGTAACAAAAAATATTGCTTGGGTAGACATTTTGATTAATTAGGTGTCAAGAGTAGAACTTATCCGTTTCCCCTTTTTTGTAGTTGGATTAGCAATTCAACGTAGTTCATGGATGAGATGTTGCAGCTTGCGTTGAAAATTGTTTTAGACGTACTTACATAGGAACAATTACATATAGTGAAAATTAGCATGTAGGTAATACTTTATAGCGCTGCGCTGGTTCCGCTCTGTTTCGTGCTAGACGCTCTCGAATATTTTTGCAACAACAATTTATTTTATAGCAACTCGCTTTTGTTGCTCTGTTATCTACCCTAATGAATGCTAATAACAACTTGGGATGTGTTCCTGAGTATTTTGTTTATATACACTTACAAATGTGCAATTTTCGGTGATGTTGCTAGCTAATTTGTTGGCAATAAAATTAATTCCAGGAACTATGTATATTTTTTTTAAATCTCGAATTTTTATGCCGTAAATTGAATCGTATTCTTTCCTATTTACAAATATAAACTGTCTTGAAAGAGGAGAAGCGATTTGCATAAGGTATGTCGGTAGTTAATAAGCGGACCAGTTCCAAGGGCGTTATGCATGTACGCCGGTAGCAACAGATTGCACTAATGCCTCGACGTTACTTTCTCGTAGTTTTTCTTTGCGTGTTAAAAAAATCTTGATAATATTTTTTCCTCGAGTGAAACTCGCGCTTTCCCTAGTTAATTGAATATTTTAGTATTTTTCGTGGTAATTGCAATTAAGTGGTAAAAGTTACGAACAAAGATGTAGCAATTTTATGTAATAAATATTTGTGTGTCCGCATGCTTGTTAGCTAGTGAAATTCGATTGGTAATGTTTCTGAATGTGATTTTCTCTCATCTTTCCCAGCCTGCCAGGAAACAGGTAATTCACCCATTAACCACCATTGTTCCTTTCGTTTTGCTTTAATTATTCTGAACACACTCCGTTTTTTATGTTCATACTTACAAACCCATTTAGTGGCGATTTTGATGTTTTATTTTGCTGGTTTTGTTTTATTAAGCCTTTTAAATACCTCAACGTTTTGCAATATAAAATTTCACATTGAAATACATGGTGAGGTTTAGTAATTTTAGTAACACTTGATACAGGTCCGTATAAGATACGTAAGTCGTCATTTGGTACAGTGTTTTCATTGAGCTTCTTGACTTGTGTCGCGCGAATACGCCCCTTAACCTCGAGGCCCGTTTGTGGCAAAAACTTTCCCTAACTAACATAAATGTGTCACGTGTGCAGAGGGACGCGAGTGCGTGAACTGCGGCGCGACCAGCACCCCGCTCTGGCGGCGCGACGGCACCGGACACTACCTCTGCAATGCCTGCGGCCTCTACTACAAGATGAACGGACAGAATCGACCTCTCATCAAGCCTAAGCGAAGATTGGTGAGTGTAAGAATCCGACCAATTGTTGTGTTCTTAGCTTTGTTATATTATACACCTAAACCATACAACGTTACGTTTAGGTAAGCACGCAGTTACTTAGTATAACACTCGTAACGATATATGTATGTATATAGGGCACATATTCAAAAATATTGTGACTTCCAAGAATCAACTAAAAGCAGGTACCATTTTTGTGGAAAATAAACAAATGTATAATATATTTATGCTACGGTGACATCAGGAATGGGTGTAGTTTACAGTTAAGGGGCAGCAATAAAAAGGCGGAGCATGCACGCTCGAGCACGACACCGCATTAAGCGATCCCACAAATTAGGCTCTTAAGAAAGCTGAGCGTTTCGAGGAAAGAGACCAACGGCCACTAAACTAGCCTCCATGACCGCCATAAATCTTCCAGTTAACATTTAATCTAAGGTCGGGTACGCATAAAACTAAAACAATGCGACGTTGGCCCGTATAGGCTAACGAGTAGCCCGTGCGCGCAATTGTACAATTTACCTTAATGCGTCTCGCAGACATAAACTAGCGGAATGGGCTGGAATATTTGCCTTTTGTTGGCCAAATTACGTAATGTTGAGCGTTATGGTTTCATTCCATCGTTCCGGCTTGCCATCGGGTCCGGCCCCACTGCTATTACGCGCTATTAACGCTCTCGTACGCGTTACAATTCTTTAAATTACAAAATATGATAAAACACATCCTACGCTCAGATTTACATAAATTATAATGCGGGCAATTTCGTGAAATAATTTTGTGTCGCAGCCGGCCACTACACAGTTGACTCATGGCTCTTAAACCCGGATGTTGGTAACACCGTTTTAATAAACTGTACTGTGTTGATGTTGGTTGGGGAGATTGAATTCTCACTTTTATTTTTGTTGTGGGAACCGGAGACAATGCGACTCTCGCGCGAGGCCTGTGTGTTGTCTAATCCTGCGCACCGCTCAACAACCTCGCTGACAGATTTCGAGCAACAGTTTCCGTCTTTCTTTTACATAAACAGAACCGTCATTACTCTCGCATGTTAGTCTACTTTTACTGCTTAAAGTGTACTTTATGCGTAATTAATAATTCATGATCTACTAATAATTGAGTCACTTAATTCCAAAATCATTTAACATTTAAAAATGGGTCGTTGTACGCCCACGTATTCTCCTATTCCTGATCTTATGTGCTGCCTAAAACTTGCTACGGTATAACTAAACATGTTTCAAGTAGAGCTTCTTGCAAAAGAGCTCGTCCAGGGAAGTACTGCCACTTTGCCTATTTCTACCGTCAAGCAGTAATGTGAGCATTACCGCGTTCCGGTTTTGCAGGTTAAAGTGCTGGTGAAATTACAAGTATATGGGACTTCCTACCTTATGTCTTAAGGTGTAGTTGCAATTTAAGGTTTTGAGTGGCACTGACAATGCTATGGAGAAGCGTGTCGCTTACCACCTAGCGCATGTCTTAATAAAAATAAATTCTATAAACTAAAAGAAATACTAGAAATTCCATCACCTTTACATTGTGATGTCAACGCTAACATATGCTGCGTTGATCGTTATTAATTAGAACTCCGAAATACAAACAATTAGGCTTATCCATTAAGAAACCCCGACCTTGTCCAAACCGACCACTAATTGGACTATGCACTCGACTTAAAACTAAGTCTACCAAAGAATTAAAACTTAATTTCCGTTCATAATAATTAGACAAGTCAAAATACCCACTGCACTTGACACGGATTAGAGTGAGAATTTTTTGGACAATACAAATTGAGTAACAAAGTGTGGACAAAAAGTGGTAAAATGATTTGGCTAATAAAATGTTATAAGGCTTGTGATTAGACAATAGGTTTACATTATTAACAAAAATAATAAGAACAAGGATTTTTCCACAATGTGCCATTAATAAGTGCTTTGAGGCAAAATTTCGTATTCATGTTTTAATATTATGATTTTTTAATTGTGTTAATGTTATTCTTGGTCTGGAATTACAAGACAAAAAATAACCTACATTTTTTATGTTAAAAAAATTTATAACTCTATAACTTACTAAAAACAGTAATGCTAGTAAATTATTCGTAATTAAGATGCGTTTTGCTTAAAAGTAGCTGCTGGAGTTGATTCTATGATAAACCACTTACTTTATTATGTTGATAACTATGCATAGATTAAATTCATACTTTTATGTACAATCTTACAAAGACAAGTAACTTTATATACTTAGATAACACTTGATAAAAATATTAGGCCTCCCGCCGAAGTTCAAGTGGAAACTTTTTAGTAAATTTTCTTTTGCATATATTACACTGACGGGGAGCAATATATTGTGAAGATTATAGAAACAAAAGAGCAATGATCTTGCCTCCGATTGTACACCTGTGCCCCCTAGAGAGATAAGATACGGTTGTGCTTATTTACGGTTTGTAGTTGCCAAGGAATAGCTACTGGAATTGTTTTAGTTGGATCTATTACAATTTTATTGTACAAGTAACATTGGTAAGTATAATTACTTAACTAAATCAGTGATGAGGTACAGAGGTTGTGTTTAGTTTGCGCCAAGAATGTTAAAATAAGCTTTAAGTTTGATCTGAATATCGCAGTCAGTCAAAACAAAAGTTTGACGATTTCAAAATCTTTGTAAATGTTTTAAGTTGTATAAAACCATTTGCACCAGCACTATTCCAAGATATTCCAACTTCTACCTTCTACAAAATAAAACTACTAGTAGTTACAATGGCCATAAAGCACGGGTGTGTTACGGGAGATCGCGGCTATATTTAACCCGCCAGCAGAGTGCTACTCCTCGGGAGCCGAGACAAAAGAGACACGCGTGCGAACACGCGGCGCGAAGTGGTAGCTTGAAGGTTGAGATTACTCAAGGGAGAAAAGAAGTGAAATAAACGTTCTTTATGGTTTTTAACCTAACTGCGATCAAGAGAAAAACATTGGCGAAAAATATTCAAAAAAGTAACAACTTACTTAAGACAAACAATCGCACTTGGTGTAATATTATACTTGAGAGAGGTTCAATGATTCTACGCTTGTATTTAAGCTTAAACAGAAGTGTTATCAAATGTCATAAACATGTAATTTATTTCATGTAACTGGTATTATTTTTACAAATTTCATCTGATAAAAGCACTTTTAACTGCCTCTGTGGCCGATCGGTTACCATGCTGGACTGCTACGCATTTATAAACGGGTTTAAAAATAAGTAAAAAAAATTATATTTTTTATAAATATAAATACATTTTTTTTAAATATCTGTTCAAAAATGGAAAGGCGTACTTACAACAATTTTTAATGGAATCAATCCGTGTAAAATTCCAACCGCTACTTACTATTAGTGTAAGCGAACAATACAAAGCGGCAATAAATTCCTATTTATTTTTACTTTTTTTGCATTCTTCATCATCATCGTCAACCCAATGCAGATTCCGGGTTCGATTCCCGGGACGGGAGAAATATTTGTACGGCTTACATTTATTTACTTTACGAATTTAAATATTTTTTTGTGTATGATCATGTCTTACTTCATTGAAAGAGTAACATTTTTGGGAAATTATTAAATAAAATTAAAAAAGTAACATACAGAAAAAAAATTATGTATCTTTTTTATACTGACTAAAATTTTGACACATTTGGCACCAATAAAATGACTCGTATATGACCGGTGACTATTTAAAAAAAATACTCTATGAATTACCTCTCTTTATCTTTGCAAGTGCGATGTAAATCGCACAATGTAAAATCAACAAACAAACAAATGTAAAAGAGATATTCCTAAATATGGTACGGCATATACAGGGTGTCTCACTGGCTAGGGACACGGAGGGGAAGTACTTAAAATATTGTGGATATCCATAGATATCTTATTTAATTACATCACCATCATCTATAAATTCAGACACGAGACAAAATGTTATTTGTAATGAATTAATCCTAATAATTTTAATTCTTTCGATTGGCAAGGTATTTATAATATTCGGCCGGTTGGATTGCAGCCTTACAGCTTTCGAATGTAGTGTTACTTACTTTTAAAAATGAAATGATGTTTATTTGGAGTTATTTTAATTATTTAATTTAAAGAGATTAAAGTAATTTCTTTTCCAAATACTTACGGTGTAATAATGTATTCCTCAATATATTCTTGATTTAACATGTTTTAAAATTTTGATTTTTTGAAAGTATAAAATCATCATCAAAGAGTCATCAAACATTTACGCAGTGAATTTATTAATCCATAACTAAAAGCTTTCTTTATCATTTGCAGTCGCAAATATTCTAACTCTATGAATTTGTTATTTTATTTTTTCTGCATACGCAAATGTTAGTTTTTTTGTTTCAATCTTTATTAATATTGTTGAGCACGATTTTCGGTTACCATTTTACTTGGAAACCTATCACATTATGACATCATAGCGATACATCAGGCAGACAGTGTGGGACCGAAACGCCATAAGAAGCTTCGAAGGTCCTCATTGTACCAGTTTTGTAAGCTCCGCATGCCAAATAGGAGAGTTCTATGACCTACTGCCTTTGGTTAAACTGACGAAACGCTCAAATGTGCTTGTTTTGTGTCCTTTATTATCCTTACGTTGTGTAGGTCGCTACATAAGTACTTACTTGTGTATATATCATATTTTGCAACAATTTTTTGAAGGTATAACAATAAAAAATAACTCATGCCATACACATGTATTTGAAAATTATTTAAATTTGTGATTTTAACTATACTTACGGCACTCGTTGATGTCTTTTGCAGTGACGGAGTAAAATTAAGATCTGTCAAAATGTTAGTTAACTGATTTCATGTTTTATAAGAAGCTATAGAAATATTGTTCATTAAAAGTGTTTGTTACAAATTAGAAACGATTTTATTAGAAATTTGCTTTTTTATTCAGGTAATTATATAAAATCTTTAAGTACGTTGTAGGTACCTACATGAAGAAACAAAGGAACAACGACTCAATTAAAATAAATTTTAAATTTATAGCGTGG